TAGTAGTAGTAGTAGTAGTAGTAGTAGTAGTAGTAGTAGTAGTAGTAATCATACATAGTAATGATAGTAGTAATAATTGAGTGTTCATTTTTCAAAATGGAGGTCATCGTCGCCAACACATCTGTATGATGAACAACAAATTTCTTTTTAAGTCTTATGCACAATGTGTTAATTATATATATATGTATATACACCTATTACGCACTATATAAAATACATATACGCAATAACAGTACCAAGGCTGTATACCCTAAGGTTCAATAACCAACACGTGTTCTAATCACGTGCTCATATCCAAGGCCAAGGAAATTACCCTTGGCATTAACCGCACCGGCTAAAATACATTCATCTATATTTCTAACGAGGATAGATAGGTGGCCCTGATGAATAATAAACCAATTCGTGCCAACAAAATACAGGTGGATCATATTTTATCATCTCATTTCTCTTAAATATAGTTTTAAATTAGAGCCAGATGATAATTTCATAATTATCTGTTTAGTGCATATATAATTATTACGAGTATAAGCGAATATTACATTTTGTAATCGAACAGAAAAATATGAAAAACACCGTATATCATTTCATAATTATATTGAGTGTTCCACTAAAAAATACATATAGAGAACATATTTTTCGGACTGAATAAGAACTTAATCGACTGAGATAACCATATTTTTGTGTATAAATAACTACGTGGATTACAAATGCAAAACCGGAACAAAAGTTACACCACGAATATAACTCCTGAGTCAGTATAAAATCAGCAATAAATTTATTACCAATGGAAATATACAAATTAATCGATAATTTCAGAAACGTTAGGAGTCACATACCTTAAGAAATTGAGATATTATTAAAAACGTATACTAGTCATGTGTTTCAATATGTTGAATGTAAAAAAGTATAACTTAAAATTTTTTTACATTCAACACAGTATTTGGCCCAGTATTTGGTGTAAATGTAATAATGTCTAGTTGAGTTTACCATATCCTTAAAAAACATGAGTATCTATGTCAAAGCTTTCTTTTAACGATTTAAAGTCTAATTTATATCAGAGGGGAAGTTTTTATTTTTATCATGTGAAACTTTTAAATGTAGCTACATCATTAACTGTACAAAATAAATTGCGTAAATGACAAATAAATGTACAATAGAAAAATTCATAGCAAACTAGAGTTAATTTATATAAATATTTTAAGTAATCGTATATATAAGTATATCAGAATTGTGAAAAATATTATACAAGTATATTTTGATTTTCAATTCATTGTATTAAGATTTTTTGCAATAAATGCAATTTAACCATCTAAAATGTTATAACCAGGGCTTGGGAGTTAAAGCATTTGCTTATTTTAATGGATCGACTTAAAATGTAGCAGAGCGCTATAGAAGCGTATGTCAAGTTATAACACGTACAACTATGAAATTTGAAAGTGCCTTTTTTGCTTTTTTCAGCAATTTTTTAAAAAAATGCTTATTTCCAGTTTTTCAGATTATTTTTGTTTATTTGATCAGTTTTTTTTTACGTTTTTATAGTTTTATCCTGCAAAGTCGTTTTTGATAAAATTAAAATTAAAAATAATTCTTAATTTATCTACGTTGTCAAGTAGTTCGTCGTCGTCCAAGGTATCGTTGTAGGGTTAACAAAGATACTCCAACGCTGAAAATAGAACTGAGTGTCAAAAGTCAGAATGATCAAGAACAGAGAGAACAGTTTACATTTTATTTTTCAAAAAAATCCTTTAGAAAATCCATTAAAATTCTTGAAAGTGAAAATTTATTTTTATTTTGTTTGGTTTTTTTATTAGAATTAAATAGTTTTTTTTTTTTTTTTTAAATAAATGTTTTTGCTTAATTTTAAATTTTTTAAATGCTTATCTTAGTGCTTACAATTATATTTTTAAGTGCTTATTTTAATAATTTTAAGTGCTATAAGTCCCGAGCACTGATTATAACACATATTTAATTTTAAGTACATATAATAATAAAAATACAAATATTTAATAAAAATATTAAACACAAACACAAGTTTATTCGATTTACATTATACCTATTTAACAAAACTAATAATTTTCCCTTGTTATTTTTTCCATAGGGCATTATGCCCCTATAGATATCAAAAATAATTTTGACATTTAATGGGAAATCTTACTGGGCAAGAGAAATCAATATAACTATTTATGGCGATTTTCGATGGATAAATAAAATAAAAACAGTGCACGTGACAGCCAGTATAAATGTATTAACAATTAAATATAATACATTATTGCCAATTTAATTACTAGAATATTCCCTTTTAATTGACCATTCACGTCAATTTGACCCGCATACGCATTCAACTAATTATTAGCAAATTGTAAATGAATCAATCATTTTATAATAAGAGTTAAATTACATTAAAATATAATCTTTTTTAAAACTCATAAAGGATTTGTAAATGTATTTTTAAATATACAATAAGAAAACATTGTAAATTATAATTCATGTAATTTAAAACTTCAATGCTATATTATATTAAAAATTTTAAAATAATTAATAAATCTGCATTTGTTGTGCATCTTAAATAACTTATGTCAGTGTATGTATACTAATATAATTAATTCGCACTATTAAACCTATGTATCTGTACATTATAATTAGATTGTTCAACCTCGCGTAATGCGTATGCGTGATGTATTGAAATTCGTCTAGAGGCAGATGTGTGATCCCCACCCCCTCCAGTCTTCTTTTGGGCGTAAGTCCCGGAGCTATTTACTAAATCAAAACACACACCAGTAGTGGAAATACCAATAGAGGGGAATGGGGAGCACACAGCGCGTGCTAAATAGGGGGGAAGCCTTACCTATCTGCTTTTTTAAAAGGTCTTTCGCTCTTTTGCTATTTATTGTTCACGTATAGTGAAAGGCCCTGTAGTAGTCATACGATAGTACCTGTGTACGCACAATAGCTTCGTATAATATTATACAATGTGCACAGAGAGCAGCTGCGAAATAATGCAGCACTCTCCCGCCGGTCGGGTGTGTGGGGGGCAAAAATTATTTCATCTATATATTGACTGGCATAAGGTTAAAAAAACTTTATTTCATTTAACATTGGCAAACTTATCAGCACCGAATAGGAAATTTGATTTATAACAAATAGCGATAAATCGACGTACAGAGTACAAGACTGGCCTACTTTCAAAGCAACATTCCACTTTCATAAGCAGATGATTATTGCTAAGCTTACTTTATTTAATTAATTGCTATTTTGAGACAAATTAAGAGAACAATTTATATTTATTTAAAAACACAGGCATGATTACATACACATTGTGTCTGTTAAAATAATACATAATTGTTAAAATACATATTATCTTATACTGTATAACTATAATTTGTCACAACTTACACGTTGATTGATATTAAATATCTTAAAATTAATGTAATACATAAAAAAATAAAATAATGGTTTTCAGTGATATCCACTATTTAGGTCTCCATGGATTTAAGATAGAGAAAAATATAGGGTAATACATTTTCTCAAAACAAAACGTAGAAAAAAATATAAAATAAATTACGTATAAATAATATAAACCTATAGATAAATGATATGAATAATGGTAAAGTAATATAATTATTGTTAAAACGTTAATGATAGGGATAAAAATTATATAATTAAGTAATTGAGGTTATTGGACGCTCCAAAACAAACATTTTGATTAGATAAGACTATAAACAAAAAACTGTATTATGTATACATAATCAGTCAGACGCAAATTCACTAAGACTAAAAGCTTAATAAACCCACATTTTTTGCACATAATATAAACAATAAAAAAAATTAAAAAAACACTGAACTATTGTTGTGTAGAAAACAAGAAGATAACGATATTTCACAGTGAAGAACTCGGTGCTTATGGTTGTTCAAACTCCTAATAGTAGTAATATTTTTTTTTACCTTTTTAGATTTAAGACCTTAAACCGACTTTCGAAGGTCTATGTTACCACCACTGAGACATACATATGAATAATCGTTAATGTTTTATAGTTTATTTGTAACTCAAAAACATGTAAATTAACGCGTTAACATTGTGATCGAGGTAAATAGTCATGGAAAGCGAAACATTCGTCATCGACTACTGAATTGTAAATAATATTTAAGTTTAATTTCAGTAGAAAAACAATTGAACTATAATGAATTATTTTTAAAGGGTAATTTTTCTGTGCCGAAATAATCAAAATATAGTATTCAACTAATATAAATTGACATATTTTAAAATTTTATTATTGTTTTTAAATATAAGACAATTTTATCTCTACTTCTTGGTAAATGAAGATAATACACCTAAAGTAAGATATTAAGTCCGTACTTTGTAAACAATTGTTTTAATAATAGTGATTTATGATAAAATGTATAAATATATATTATATACGAGTATTATATAAGTTTATTGTATAATAATTACTAATAAAACAAATTTGGACAGTTCACCAAGTTTTCGGTCGTCAATCTTTGACGAAATGTAAATATGAGTGTTATATACTTAAGACATTTTTTTAGCACTTTCTTTACCTCATATCCTTAAATAATTTAGAAGCTTTCCGAATTATAAACAATTAATATTTACCGATATAGCAAAAAGAGATAAGCGTCAGCATATGTCTTCGTAACATCGAATCATTTCGTCTTTTCCACTTGATTTGTTCCAAAATGTGATCCACATAATCAAAACTGGTGACTGCAACAATTCTCCATTCGAGTTTAGAAATAACCAATAACTCCCATTCCTGAAAAATATAAGTTTAAAATTAAGTAACTAATTTTAAAACTCAAGATATTTCATGATATAATATTATAACAATATTTTAGCCTTTGTCTTAAATTACTATATCAAAAACACGTGTCGATATATATCTCTGAAAGTTAAAGTACATATAATTTGATTTTCTCTAATACAGCGAATGTCTAGACGGAACAACCATGTACGTTTCAATGGATTCGAGAGGGCGAATTGAAGGGAAATTACGTAACCAATTTTTGTCACCCTAATCTGTCTCACTGGTCTCACAATTGTTTGTGATTACAAAAGATCGTTAAAACAATAAGAAAACAATTAAAAACATTGTATCGACAAACACGTTAAAGTAGTTTTATAAACGACCAACTAAAGGGAACTCTAAAACTCTTTTGTAATATTATATAATGGAGGAATTTAATATTTTTCTTTGCTATAATATTACATTAACAACCAATATATTTCCCATACTAAAATAGACGTGAACAATGCTTACAATTTATAAACGGTCGAAAAATTAAACTTGAAATTGAATTAAAAAATCAAAGTATTTTGCATACACGATAGAAATTATAATAAACTACAACACGTTGTTTAATATGATCTATACACATAACTGATACAATTATGCAATATACATACAAATTATTAGTATAAGGTATACCAGATAAAATAACATACTTTACAAATTTACTTTTCTCATTATATTTAAGTGCTACTATGAATACTTTTGAAAAATTATTATGTATTTAATATGTTCAGTATAATATTAAAATATATTGTTATTTTAAATAAGTATAACTGTGGCAAGGTTGATTTAACAAAAGTAAAATTTATTCAACAAACGTTAAATAAAGACACCTTGTAGTTGACTTGTATTTTAATATTTTTATTATACACAATAAGTTTGAAGGGGAATATTTCTTAATCCTAGTCACAAATGCAAATAATGAAATCTATGGTTTTTATCGTCTCCCGCCGTCAATTTCATCACTTGTAGTCAGGTTATGTACGAATTTTTTTAAGGTAGGTCAATAAAAGACGTCTAGTTGCCGGTCTTTTTTATTGCTCATTCCTTTGCGAAATTCTAGACAGCCTATCAAAAACCCCATAGGTATTGTTCCGTATGGTGCTGCCGTGGGCACGTCATACATGATTTCGAAACTAACTCGTCTGTGGCGGATGTGGAACCTGTTCTGAGCGAGTTAGTGTTTCACGAAGCTATGTGAAGTTAAAAATAATTAAAGCCAAAAAAAAAAAACTTCAGTACGGAGTACTAAGAAATAAAAGTTGATAATAAGATATTTAAATAATGTTTTTAAGTATATTAGCAAAATATTAAGTTATAAAGATAGTATAGTTTATACAAGAAATTCTTAACAAATAAATTATTTAAATAATATTTTACTTGATCTAAAATATCATAATTTCCTATGATATAATGTATACTAAACATATTATAACATGTCATGTTTTATATATTCAAAGAGCCGATTTATTAATTTAAAACTTTTTTAATCCATAATTTTATAGTAAACTTATTTTATAATATTAAAATATATTAATATTGAATATTTTCCTCGGTGAAATTTCATGTTAACACATTCACATATTTATAAAAATAATATTATAACTTATCAAATATATCTATAAGTCAGAAACTCACTTAAATAATTAATAATTATGCTATTTTTTTTTTTTTATAATCTATTTTTTACAGTTCAACTAATGACGCTCAAATTATTTTAAACCTAGAAAACTCACTAAGTTTAAAACAATATGTGCTAATAATTAATAAATCTATTTATTTAAATATATTTATTAATGAAATATTATTTTCATTTAAAAAAAAAAAAAAAACTATAAAAATAGTCTAATTTACTACATTTTTATACGCAATTAAATTAGGAGAATTATTATTATTCGTTTAATCGTACCATTGATACTTAATTGTATTTTCTTTAATTGAAAATATTTTATTATAATTTATAATATATATAAGAAATGTTGGTTCTCATTTCACCAGGCAGTTTAGTTTAGGAAATTATATCTTTGTATTTACGATACATAAATTCAAATTTTTACACATACAGATTTGCATATTATACACATTAGAGATATGTTCACATGAATACACAAAACAATGCTCCACTAAATGTGGACAAATTACCAGCTCGTTTACAAGATGATGGCTTCCCCGTGACTGATAACTATGAACAAATAAGGGTGGATATAAATTTAAACTCTCCCTGCACGCAATAAGTCTACAATTACACGTCGCTTTCAAAGCCACAGATCCGTGAAAAATTTCATATTGTTTTCCTTCATGTCTTTTATGTTTTTACTTTAATTGCCCAAATACAAAGGTTTCAGTACTTAGTAGTACACACATTTTATAATGAGCGAATAAAAAGATAACAAAAATATATAAATACTGATTAAGGAAGTAGACACGCCGAGCATGTAACAATCAAATGGTCGACTTGTGACTGATGGTTATCTACATTTCTTTAAATTTGCACCAATTACAGTATTCAACTATTTTAATAATGCATACTAGAGATATAACGTATATTCGAATATTCGAAGTAGTTTTATACTCTGTTATTATTGTGACTGTGTAAAACAAATATGAAAATGCTCCAAGTCATATGCCCCAATTATTATTGTTAATAATTCAATTATGATGTACTTTTCCAAATTTATATTTATTTTTTTGCATTTCAATTTGTGTATTTATTTATTATTTTGTTGTTTGTAAATAATACATTATTATTATTGATATATAATTATAAAATATTTTGGATAATTTTTAATTTTAATTTTTTGCATTTTAAATGCTCCGTCTAATAAACTAGCTACTTGTGTTGTCAATATCGCTGGTGACAAGCCCACTTCCCGCGGGTTAGTGTGGCACACCACACACCTATATAATATTATTATTAAACGTTTTATGGGGGTATTACGCGAAAACGCAAAAAAAATTATTTTTGTTAGGTATTGTATTGAAGTATCAAATAATTTTCATCCTTAATGCATACTATATTTCAACGATTAATATTAGTAATAACCAAATATTACTAATTTTAATAATTATATAATTTAGAGTTATGTTTTAACATATCACACATGAATACAATAGTTTTATAGTGGTCAAATAAAAAATTATATAAATATAGTTTAGTATGGGGAGCAAAATACCATTACCCTAGCGAGGCCTACTATTAATTAACCTATATTTTATTAAATATTAATTAAAACAATATTTTCGCAAAGGTGTATGTACATGTTTACGCGTACTGGAGCGTAAAAAAAACATGGGAAAACGTTGATGTGAACCTAACAAATTGTTTATCATTTAAGTCCCTGTATACTGCGTAGTATTGTAGATATCAAGTTCTTTTTTAGAAAGAGTGAAAACATAATAATACTTTCGGTGGAACTAATTGCCTGTTACGACGCAAAAAGAAAAAATAAGGAAACGCGGCATAACAGTTGTATGACGAGTTGAACATATAAACATCCTATTCTATTAAAAAAGGATGATTTTAACCACATGTCTAGCAAACCATGACCCCGACACATAACGTGGTTCGGTGTACCAAAATTCATGACGAACAAAGGGTGTTTTGTAATCGATATACGACGTCTTGTCTATTTACGCAATGAATATAATATTCTTTTAATATGCTACAGGATATTGTAATTAGGCCATAAATTCGATTGAAAAATATTATTGAAAAAAAAATGTCTTTAGTTGGTGGGAAAGGATTGAAGAATTGTATACACACAATGCCGTTATATTCAAATAAAAGATTTCCTTTTTCCGATATACTCAGACAGGAAACTGGCCTATATTGACCCATATTGACTAGGTCATCAAACTCAGACAAATTACAAGCCTCCTTGAATATTGTTATGACGCATCAACATCCGGCAATACAAAAACAGATAATTTGAGCAATAAGGGATGTGACGGTATTAAATTTTAATATCATAATATATAATATGATAATAAGTTAACATTACACAAATACATGTACATACATAAAAAATTATTTAAAGTTGCACTTAAGTATTAGATGCATTAAAAAGTAAAACGAGTAAAAGAACTAGTGCCTCCTTATGGAACTATGAATACATTGTACTCATGTGACTTATATATTGAAATTATATGCCATTTACAATATTTTTCATATTACGTTCTTTGAAATAATAAATGACCAAGTTCGTAACTCTATTTTAATTTAAATTATTCATTAATAGACAATGGTATAAAATAAACAGATGTATAAACCAATTAAGTATTTATAAAAGTTGTTTTAAATCAATAATTAAAATTAACAAAAGTTAGTTGTAATGTGCAATGTTAATATTAACATATCATTGAACATAACACATTGATCCATAAATAGTTAACACATATAATATATAATAAAGCTATATAATTATACATTTTTTTACATTGTATAATAATATTAAGAATATTTTAGGTATCTATTAAATTTTAGAACAATGTTTAAAGAAAAAATACTTAATTAAAAAAGTTAACGTATTATGAGATTTTATGACGCTAATTCATAAAACAAATACATTAGTCATTGACGTAATATTTATTATAAGACCAGTTAATTCAAACATTATTTCACATCGATAAGATTAATAAAAAAAATGAGAATTGTTCACGAAATATGATTAATGATTTATTACTGACCTAATAATATATTGTAGATTATTTGTGATTTAACTATACTAATTATTGTATTTTTCAAATACAAATTCTTCATGTTAAACAAATTGTAAAATAGTTCACTAAATATATTATTTTTTCTTATTAATATAAATATTAATATTTTTTCAATAAAAAACTGTTTAGGTACCTTTTAAGGAATAAGATTATTTTGTTTTTATTGATTTAAATTTAAATTTTAGTTTTGAGCTGATTGCTAGTATTTCCGACATATTTAGAGGGATAATTAAAAATATAATATTGATAAGGAGATGATTTAGGTACATATATGTAAACCTATAAATAAATGTCGTATATTTGAAATAGGTATAGAAAATAAAACAAGTTTTTAAGCCGCGACATAGTAGAAGCATTTCTAGAGAACTTAACGGAATAAACCAGTCAGATATGTGTGATGTCACTAAAAATGTGTATGGGTATTAGTAAGGGCCGATGCATAAAAGGGGTTGATCATCTGACTGATTTATCGATTTCGCGTTGAAATAAATGGGTATTCGGTGACACGGAACGAATCCTCTGTACCGGTTGGCTGCGGATTGTATCATATGCATTATTTAAATCTCATTAGACAAGGTACATACACCTAACATCTTCAGATGTATCTTAAATATGAAATATAGTGGGTTAAAGGGATTTATCATGAGATTTTTTTTTTTTTTTATTCGCGGATACGGTTCATTGGTTTTACCTAGGCAATGTTTCATAGCCGTTAAAGTTAAATAATACGGAACGTCAAAATACTGATTATTTATGTGATTTAAGTTTGAATAAAACGAAAACCATAATTTATGTATAAAATAAATTTCAAATCAAGGGCAAGTAAAAACGGTCGGACCGTTTATTACATACTATAGGAATATATTGCATATTGCATAAAAGCCCCAGAGATATTTCATATTCATTGAATTGAAATTCGATTTTTTACCACTACGAAATAATATACGCAATCGTAATTCGATTTAAAAAAACTCAACTATATACTTCTTGAAGGTCTAAAATCTGCCACTAAACGCTTAAAAGTCCTATATTCTTCTTCTTGGAATATGAATGAATCATACCAAAAAGAAAAACCGGAATTAAATGCTATGTAGGGGATTCACAAAAGTTCTCGGTGTTGGGAAAGTATGAAGACGTGTGGCACAAACGCCGGATACGCTCGCGTGCAAACACGATTTACAGGTTTTCCCATATCGTCCACAGTAACATTATGCAATGAAGGTTAATGTAAAAAATACAATATTATAGGACATACGTACACACCGGGCTAATCCATTGACCGGTCTCTTGCTCTGCCTACCGCGTAGTATCTATTTGTGGTACAAGTGCGTTAAATTCGCCCCGATTCACATGTACGCTTTCAAGGAAGTAGATACACATGTTTATCTAAGCACGCAGAGGACCTCGTGCGGGATATTTGATTGTATACTACGAGGGTAAGAAATAAAAAAAACCCTTTTTTCACTCTGCCCATTTGCCAATTCTAAAACCTGGTCGGCAACATTTCAAACATGTACGTATGTTTCCATTGTAGGACATAATATAATATCAAAAAATATTTGACACGCCCGTCGTACATACATATTATGTATATAATATATTTATAATACATATATGTTAAACATAGATATAAGCTCTGTCCCTGCCACAAACTTGTTTCCAATATAAGTGTGTACGGTAAATGGCAACAAAAATAATATTATTCTCACGATACCGTTGAGAAAAGGGACCGGACCTTTGCTAGACAACCAACGCAATAAAAGGAATGAAAATTGAAATCTAGTTTGGTTATGGCCTAAAGCATTACCATATACTAAGCACACTTAAAATTGTTTTGAATTATCCTGGAACTAATCAAATTAAAAATGAAATAAATAGTTTTATTAATATGCGTATTCTCAATAATATATAACTTACGTTTAGAGCAAATTAAAGTTAAATCTAATGATAGTTAATTATAATTTTTTGATGCATAATAGTTATTTTAATCCTTGGTTCAATCAGACAACTATATCTAATAATAACTAATCAGATATGTATTAATAGTATAAGAAATATTAAATTGTTTACATTATTTATTTCGTAATATAAATATTAGGTACGTTTTAAATTTGAAAATGAATTATGAAAATAAATGAAATATTTGAAACACAAATTTTATTTTAAGTTACAAAGTAAATTTCTTTAAAAAAAAAAGGTAAATTAATTTCCTTATAAAACACGTACATCAGATGAATGAAACTAAAATTAATACTAATTTATTTATTCACAAAAATGTAAATTTCTAACATGTATTAAAAAATATCGAAAGATAAATATATACAGTGTGACCCATAAGTCCCGTATCACCCTTAATATCTCCACGAGAAATCAGTATATTTAAATGCGGTTTTTTTTTACAATACTTAGTATGAAAATTCTAATTGGTTAGCATAAAATTCAATTTTTTTTTTAAAGAAATTCAAAAATTCCAAAAAAAAATTTTTATGTATTTAAGAATTTTCAATTTTTAAAATAGGCATTTTCTTGAGCATATTTTTTAAAACAGTTAAAAAAAAAATATTAAAATTGAATAAAAATTGATCAAGTTAGAGCAAGTTATGTTTTTGAATAATTATAACAAAAAAATTCATTGTTTCACATTTTAATAATCCAGTGCTTGGTCACTTAGGTCACCCGACTTAACACCAATGGATTTTTTTTTTATGGGGTTATTTGAAAAATCTTGTGTGTCCGTCGTGTTCATTGCCTGATCTGCGTGACAAAATTGAACAAAATATTCAAAATATTTTATATGAGACATTAGAAAATGTTAAAAACGCTTGGGTCCAAAAGCTTCAGCTCTGTGTTACAAATAATGGAGGTCACTTCGAACATTTATAAAAAAAAATGTAATGTATTATTTTATTTTTTATGTAATAATTTTTTTTTTCTGTTAACAATCAACTTTAAAATTATTATATGAATTTTAATTTTAATATTTTCTAATTAGATATTTACAGATTGCCATAAAAAATCAGCGTTCCAATCGGAATTGATTAAATTGAGCAATTCGTGTTTTGCTAAATAACAACTATTATTATAATTATTCAAAAACATAACTTGCTCTAACTTGGTCAATTTTTATTCAATTTTAATATTTATTTTTTTTTTTTTTGAACTGTTTTAAAAAATATGCACAAGAAAATGGTTATCTTAAAAATTGAAAATTGTTTAATGCATAAAAATTTTTTTTTTGAAATTTTGAATTTTTTTAAAAAAAAGATTGAATTTTATGCCATTTAATCACAATTTCCATACTAAGTATTTTAAAAAAAAAAACGCGATTAAATATATTGATTTCCCATGGAGATATTAAGGATGATACGGGACTTATGGGACATAGTGTATACATACAAGTATCACATTAAGACCAAGACAAATAATTACCAGAAGAGTTTAGTCAGGAAATAAATAATTATATAAAACCTTCCATCACCACGACATTGAAAAAATAATTGTAGCTATAAATAGGAGCAAAAATTAATATCGTGTGTCGAGTATTAGATCCGTGACCGAGTTTTTTTTATTAGTCAGACGACAAAACCGGAACATATGACAAAAGACGAAGATGATAACAATAAAAGCTAGGGATTTTAAGGAAACACAGTACTACGCCTTAATTGCAATGTGGTTTTTTTCTATATTATATTATAGCCAAAGCAGCTGCAATTAATAATTTCATTTTTTTCTTTTTATTTTTTTGTCCCCTAAGATAATGATCGCAGGATATTGTGGCAAAGACAGTCGACCGAGACGACTTCCTTTAAATACTAAACCTTACAAGATTTATTACTTCTATACATGTATACAAAATATTTTTAAATAATATCTTTTACTTACCCTCATCTCTTCTGGAGTTACGCTGTTTTCAGTATAGTAACATAAAAGTTCAATGGAAAGTGCAGTACATTGTCGCACTTTAGAAGCTAGTAATAGACATACGGCACCGGTGAGCTGCAAGTGCGTTTTCGATATATCACAAGCGCATAAGAATCTGTCAAGGAAATTTACAGATAACGGAAACACTTGATCTTCGCAGTTTTGTTCTTCACATACCTATACATGGAAAAAAATATATAGCATAAGGTAAAACCATTCTCACAAATTTCACAAATTGTTTTTGGGATTATACCCACATAAAATAAGCAGTTATATATGAGATTTAAATGTTAATAATCATTATATATAATTATATACCTATAGTTATATTAGTTTCGGTAGATTTAATTGTCGAACTATATTTTGAAAATGATATAATAATAAAATAAAATATAAAAGCTTCAGTTCATAACAATTCATTTAGGAAAAAAAAATGATACCTGATATCCATAATTCATATTATATAAACAAAAATATGTGCAACTTGAATAATTGTTGCTGTTATATACGAGTAATTAATGTGAATCCTTGTACAGGTTGAATATATACTACAAGTCATTGAACCCTATTAAAATCTAAATTGTAATCTACATTTACATCAAATTAAGTAATTTTAAGGATGTCGAGAGAAAAAAACGAACTTAAACAATAGTATTTTATTACATTTTATAGTTGACGAAAAAGAATACAAGTATTTGTGTACACAAGAGATTTACTTAAGAAAGACTTTTTTTATCATCAACAACGGCACATATCTGCATATCTACGTTTTTCGTTGATCAAGAACACTTTAGGCTACTTTAAATTATTATTAGAAGTGTAAGTAAAATAATGATATGAATTAATAACATAAATAAAGTAATATTAACACTAAAGTACCGAAAAGTAATGTTATTGCAGTGTACTTAGGTATTTAGTAATGTATACATTTGAATAGGATATTTAATAAACATGGGTTTTTTTATTTTTTTTTATTAAAAATGAATTATTTTCCATGAAAAAATGATTGATAGAACTCATTCTAGGTGATGAAAAAAATATCTTTAACCAAGTAGAAAACACGGCGTTCGAAGTCATAAACCACATTCACCTTTGCTTCTCACACGCCCGTAAATACTCGGAAATGTATTGTAAAAAAAAAAGTATACCTACGTAATATCATCATACATTCTTAAGTGTAATATGTGAACGGCTTATTGTCGCGCACACACAAACACTAACACGTACGCACACACTCACGCAATCATAGCAAACATTCACACACACACACACACACACACACACACACACACACACAAACATGTAGCCTTATGCATGTCATGTAAACGCTTCACAAACGTTAATTAGTATATTAAAGAGGAACTCGAGAACCCGCGGTGGAGGCCGTAGTCACCGGTGTTGCCGTCGAGCTGTAATGTAAAGCGTGTGCCGTACATAGAGAATGTACGCGGCGCGTAAGAAAATAAAATAAAAATGCACATAAATATTCACGGTCAAAAGTTCGGTATAGACCGTTCTCCAGCCGTCCGCCGTTGCTGTTACCGCGCCTATTACACGCACCAAGTAGACGAATTGCAATATATATATAACCTATATGTATTTTGAGTACGTGCAATGGTAAAAGGTGGTACATGCGTGAATAATATATACAACGTACACGCGCACACCGCAAACACGTCCGTCGTCGCTCCGACGAGCAGTGTACCCGCGGTGCCCCGAGCACACATTTATTGTTGTTGCTTTGACACATAAATAATGCATCAGTTTCGAGTGACTGTATTCAAATTACCCAGTCCACGTGTACGTATGTGTGTCTCTATGTACATGTACGTACGTACTTCCATACGTTATTATACGAAGGCCCTGACTTATTATTATTATTATTAGGTATTGGTTTTTTATTTTCACATAAATCCGTGTGAGCTGCATAATATATTAAATGTAATTATACTTTGATTTACACGCACATCAATCAATAACAAAAATAATAATTTAATCATTTAAATATATTTGTAAAATAATAAAACACGCTCCTTACTTTTAAAGGGAGACGATATTATTATCAATGAATTTCAAATTTCACATCGATTGGAAAACAAGTATAACAACAAAATTAACCAAATTATAACCGGATTGACCGTTGACGATAAGCTTAAAATCAATTTAATGAAAAATCATAATTTTATCAAACGAAATGATATTGTTATCTCAGCGAAAAAAATTTAAAAAAAAAAGTTATTCAGCTGTTGTAATCAGCGGTTTTATTGCCCGTAGGCTATGACGTGAGTTATCACGAGCAAATGTACACATTCCTCCGAGAATTTCGTTGATAAGACATTACGGTTCAATTAACAGATGTAGAACTATGAAAAGAATCACTGTTAATAACGTCCGCTATTACAAACTTGTTCGCCGAAAACTAAATGACAAACCGTAACCATACACTGACCACGGCGTGAACCGGAAGTGGTTAATGAGTTCGTTTCAGATAAATAATTACGGACGATACGAACGAGTTTAAAATGCACGTGACATTAAGGCACTATCAATACTTACATCCAACATCCAAGTAGCCACCACTCTTCTCATGAAGGGCTGTAGATTGGCACCGGAGTGCGCCATGTAATCGCATTCGGGCACATACTGTGACTCGGTCTCCAACAATTTCTTGACCGCACGTTCGTCCCGGAATATAGACCGGTCTTCGGCAAAGCACTTGTCCTCGGACACCTTCTGCGATTCGGTGCACATCAAGTTCATCATGTTCGGATTGAGGGTATTCCCGGTCACAACGCTGAATACGCGCATCCGTCGCACCGGTCGAATCGGTAAAACTTTTCCTCCGCGATCGTTTGAAAACGAAGACCAACGACGATTCAACAGGGGATTCCGACCTAGTCTTAGCGGTGAAAAATTTCGAGATTTCGTTAAAAATTCGTATCGAATTTACTTTCGATTCACGGCACGGACCGTTGTGTGTCCAACGAGCGTTTATTAAAATACACCTGGTGAGAGTTTGAAAAAAAAAAAATAAAGAAATAAAAAGTAACTCTGGAACTGTCAATATTATTATATATTATTCTTATTTTACAATAAGGTACGAATAATATAAAATTTGTAAATCTGTTTAAAATATATCATGAGCACGCGATGCGCATCGCACTGACATGCGTTCTAAACGGTGACAACCAGACTACTGAACGACGTAGTCGGGTATCGAGACAGCTGATTGCACGCGCTGCACCGCCGTCGTAGTACCGGTTGCCGACCGCCCCGTGTCGACGCGCGCATTCGTAGACTTCGACGTATTATTACATGGACGATGATGACCGTCTCCGCGCACGTTTTTACACAAAACCCAATAAATATTCTCGGAGGGTCATCTCACCGCGTACCACTGGCACTCTAGGCGGTGGTTGATTCTCCATTATGTGTACCTACTCTGGGTTTTTATTTTTATTTGTTACATTTCGATGACAAGTCGCACGTGCCACATATTATACACATATTATACACACACACAGACTAATGGCAATGCTTCGGCCCTCGACGCGATCCATTATTATTGATCGTACTACATTTTTCTTTATCCGCCGGTACGATCGATATCTGATTGAAATCCTGTCAGAACAGTACAAGGATTTATGAGTTTTAAAACATTTTAATAATTTTACTCGTGAGCTTTATACGTATTGCAATGGCTAAAAAAAACCGCTTTTATTTTATTTCGAAACGATTACTATGCATCTAAACGCATTATTACTACTGGTCTGCAATAGCGCGAAACTAAAATATAATCGTACATTGATAATGTGTATGAAATGTCGATTTAGAAAAATGTTACAAAATGTGTTCACGAATAAAAATGGGCGAACAAAAATTACACCAACAAACAATTCTACAATTTTCATTTTCGGGAATTATCAATGATCGACTCAATATCAATATTCATTATTTAAAAACCGCTTGGTAAAAAAGTGATACTATGAAATATACTAGTCATATTCACCTTAATAATTGGGTGACATAAAAATATAGCAAGAAGTTTTTCAGTGTATTTTCATATAATGACTAAAATAGTTTGTATCTGTATTCACCAACTGAAGTATGAGCAACATTGAGATACAATTATAAATTAATAGTTTTACTAATATAAATAATTTAAATGTACAGATATTAAGGTAATTGGTAAGATGTTAATTACTTAATTTAAGCTCTAAAGATAAATTTAATTATTAGCTTAATACACATATATGTATACCCAGTGGCACACACTCATTCTTAGTGAAATTCGTCAACGAAATCCGACAACTCCATTAAAGGTAATTTCGGTGCTTAAAGTAGTGGAATTTCAATCAAGTTTCACATGTTCAAAATTGAAATAACATTTAGAAAATTAAAAATATTTTTAACCACCCAATTTTTTTAGGGGGTCGAATGACCCCTTTGACCCATAAAGTGTGCGCTACTACACATACAAAATATACTAGAACCGGTAAATTACTCAATATTATATTGTTTATTTATTTTTAATTAAATATAGGCTTGGCTCAAATTATAGTAGTAGTAGGTATTTAAAAATAGAATGAGTTCATAATCTTATATATAGAAAGCAGTCTTCCAAAAATTTTCTATTTGGATATAATTTCTCTATAAATATCCTATATAACTATATTTAATTAACAAAAATGATTCAAAACGGCTCTTATTATTATATTAAGAAAAATCGAATATTTCAAGTGCCTGTAAGTTGCTTAAAAATCAGTATAATATTTTGAAAAAAATACGCTTAAAGAAAATGTCAAACTTAATAACTAGTAAAAGTTTTGAGTTTCTGCGACTTTCACTTTATGAATAATAATAAATATTTAAAATCGTTTGAGGATAAATAGTTATTTTATGTAATTTCGTAAAAATTTAAATTTCAAACGGTCATAAAAATTTATCCTTAAAGTCCGGTAGAAATTTTTTTAAAGTTGTTAGAAGAATAATTTATGGATAACCTTGTGTTAAAATTTTACACCTTAAGTATAAATAAAAAAAAATGTATGAATTTTTATCTTCAAAATAACATGAAAACGATTGCTATTTTGACTTATTTCATACAAATTTGGATTATATGGGCTTATAAAAAAAATTTATGTGGAACGATTTCCAATTCTTTTTAGTTTCGATAAGTGTAATTTGTAATAAACCTTGTACTAAGTTTTCAAGAGTTTTCTTACACCCAAATTTTTTATATCGGTATTTCTAAAAAAAAAACTTTATAAAAATCGAAAATTTAAATTGTTAATAAATAAAGGAAAACGCTTTGAAAACTTAACCATGTATAAGATACGCTAATATAAATATTTAGTGAAAATTTCAAGTGTTTGCGTTTTTAGTTTTTGAGTTAGAGCATTTTAAAAAAAATGTAGTTAGCCAAAACGTGGTAAAAATTCCTGTTTTTTCGTAATTTTTTTATTTTTTTTTTCAAAGCTTTTAAAAAGTATTGATTTTTGACTTGCCAAAATACCATCTACATT